ACGACGCGTGCGAGAGGGGTGCCAAGACGGGCGCGCTGCTGCTATGCAGGCGCTGCCACTTTTGCCTTCGGTGGAGCCCCCTATTGGGCCACGAAGCGCGTGAGAGGCATGTGCCGACACGGGCACGGCGCTGCCATGCGGGCGCTGCCATTGGGGCCTTGGGTGGAGCTCCCGTGGGGCCACGAAACACATGTGAGAGGTGTGCCGACATGCACATGCGGAGGGCAGGGGCAGGGATGGGAGGAGGAGAGGAGAGGGGAGGGAGCGACGTGAGGTGAGGTGACGCGGGGCGCTGTCTCTTCAAGACGAGGACACAACACCACAAGCTGGTTTGGGGGAAAAGCAATCGATTGTCTGGCCTTCGGGTTTCCCCACCGTCGTTCTCGATTCTGGCTCCTAGGATAGTGCTGTTTGCGTCTCCCACGCCCTCGTCTTATGTTCTACGATCCACGGTCTACTCTCCGACGCCTGCTTCGATACCCGGTCTGGTACAGTATCGATCGATCGGATGTCATTCACCACGTCGGCGCAGCCCAAATCTGAGTTGACCACAGGCTTGCCGAAACGTATGGGCATTGCATCAGTGTGTCCTGATGAGAGCACTGCCAGTTCGTAAGTTCACACCCACTCTGGCGCTTCGTGCCATCTGGCTGTTGAAGCGTTCTGCTTCGCTGGAACAACTGACACGTTGCGGCCGCCTTGCATTGAGAGAGTCTCTCTTCATCGCCCAGAAAAGGAACCCATATGCACGCAAGGAAGACCACAACGCATGCGCGCGGGCGCAGGCCATGCGACGAGTGGTGGTGCACTGTCGGTCGCCTTGTGGGGGTCAAGACGTCTTGTCGGTAGCCCCTGGCGGGTGGGCCGATCTAGCCATGGCTCCTCTCTTGCGCTCCTGTCTTCTTCCTGACTATCTCCCCGTGCCCGCTTTATGAGCCTCTTCCTCCTTCTGCTCCTGCGAAGTTGCAGAGGGGGCGATGGGGAGAGAGGTGAACTGGGACGAGAGGCGGAAGGATTCGGAGCCCCGCGCCAGTTGAAAAAGGGGCCACCCAGCTCGCATGGGCCAGCACAGCTAAACAAATGAAGCCTCGCCCTCCAGTTCGCTGGGTCCGCGCTCCCTCGTTTCGAAGACCCGCCTCCCCAGCTCTTCCGCCGAGGCTCACAGGGGGAGAACCCCAGAGCACGAGGGGCCGTGGAAGAGGCCGACCAAGGACTCCGAACACAGAAGGCGGAGAGGCACGATGAGGACGACGAGAAGAGCAGGGAAGAGCAGGGGAGATAACGAGGACGAGGAGGAGGAGGATGTCTGTCCCCCGGATCCTCATGGGAGTTCATCCTTATCAGGATCCCGAAAACGAAGAGCATGGTCACGAGGATCGCCCAGATGAACCTGCAGTCCGCCGCATCGCGCTGCTGTCGTTGCTACCAGTACACTTCCGTCGCTCCCCTCTTCCCGCTCCTCGCGAGGATCGCCCCGAACCCTTTACGCAAACCTGACCGACCGCGGCACCCCAAGTGGGGTGACCGCCGAGACATCCACGAGCTGCTGAGACTCCTTCCTGCCCTCTCCCCCCTGGCCTCCAGCGCCATCCCCTCCCCTCCCGCTCCAGAGGATCGGTATTCCTATAATCGCTCCCTGTTGTCCTTCTCCTCCCCCCCACCCCCATCCTCCCAACGAGACGAAGGCAGGATGAAGACACCTTCGGATGATACTACATCGGTAATGAAAACGCCGATCCAGGTCCTTGCCTCCCCTCCCTCACCACTCCCCCACGATTATCGCCCAGGTGGGCCTCTCCCAACCACTCGACATCACTCCTTACGGGCGCCGCGCTCATCTCTCCCACCACCATTTTGATTTCAAATTGGCCCCTCACAAGCCCTGCCTTCCTTTGTTGGCAGATGTGTGCGTGCGTGCGTGCGTGCGTGCGTGCGTGTATGCGTGTGTGTGTGTGTGTGTGTGTGTGTGTGTGGGTGTTTTGTGTGTACGTGTGTGCGCGCGTGCGTGCGTGCGTGCGTGCGTGCGTGCGTGCGTGCGTGCGTGCGTGCGTGCGTGCTTGCGTGCGTGCGTGCGTGCGTGCGTGTGTGCGCGTGTGCGTGCGGGTGTGTGTGTGTGTGTGTGTGTGTGTGTGCGTGCGTGCGTGCGGCGTGCGTGCGTGCGTGCGTGCGTGGTGTGTGTGTGTGCGGTGTGTGTGGGGGGGGGGGGGGGTGCGTGTGCGCGACTGTGGATTTGCATGAATGTGGTTGAGTGTATGTGCGTGCGTGCATGCGTGTGCGTGCATGCGTGTGCGTGTGCGTGCGTGTGTGTGTGTACGTGTGTGTTTGTGTGTGTGCGTGTGCGTGTGTGTCTCATGTGTGCGTGTGCGTTTGTGTGTGTGTGAGTTGTGTGCGTGTGTGTGTGTTGTGTGCGTGTGTTTGTGTGCGTGTGCGTATGCATGTGTGAGAGTGTGTGTGTGTGAGTGTGTGTGTGTGTTTGTGCGTGCGCGTGTGTGCGTGTGTGCGCGCGCGCGCGTGTGTGTGTGTGTGTGTGTGTGTGTGTGTGTGTGTGTGTGCGAGTGTGCGTGTTTTTGTTTGTGTGTGTGCGTCTCTTCTCCCTCTGAGGGCTGCGCGCTCTTGCATGCATGCCCGCCACGCTTGGTGGCAATCTTGATTAGCGAGCCCCGCGCATCTCTTCGCGGAGTTGGACCAGCCGGCGCCAGGAAGCAAACGCCGTGCCCATACATGCGACGTGCTGGCTACTCCCAACCATCTTGAAGTGTTGGGACTTCGTCTTGAAGAGACCACACCCCGCGTCTCCGTTCCTCCTCCTCCCCCCCTCGTCCTCCTCCTCCTCCTCCTCCTCTGTTCCTTTTCCTGATAAACAATTTCTCCCTGTCGCACCCCGAGGCTAATTTTTAGGGCGGGCCGGGCATTTCGCCTGAGACGTCCTCACCATTTATGACTCTGAAGCTCATAAGTTGGCAAGAGCTTCGCGGATTGAGGATCATCCATTTTCAATATGTGGCTCTCGCGTTAGCGCCGCGCACATTCGTTCTAACAAATTGCACGAGCTTCACGGATTGAGAATCCGTTTTCAAAATGTGGCTCTCGCCTTAGCGCGCCGCACACATTCGTTCTAACGCCGCGCACATTCATTCTAACAAATTGCAAGAGCTTCACGGATTGAGGGCGGCTCCTTTTCAAAATGTGGCTCTCGCGTTAGCGCCGCGCACGCTCGTTTAGAATCTCTGCAAGAGTTTCACGGGTTCCCACGATCAATATACGGATTCTGCGGGTGCAACATGTACGTTGGTTCACGGCGTTGAAATCCCAAGAACGGCGGTCTGGCACGATCCACGATCGTCAAGACGCAACAGTCAGGTTGATTAGTGGCGCTGGAATCGCGAGAACAATGTTTTGGCATGCTTCCGGGTCTTTGGACAGATGTCTTCCAACGAGGCAGATCCCTCAATGGAAATGAACCGTTGTATGGGGCAAATGAAAACGGAGCTTGGAGGGAGGGTGTATTCCAACATCGTTGATAGCTCTTGGGTTTACACTGGTCCTTTTGCTCCTCCTCCTCCTCCTCCTCTTCCATCCTCCTCCTCCTCCCTCCTCCCATCCCTGCCTCTGCACTCCGCGCCACTCACGCATGTTTTGCACACCTCACCCGCTTCGTGGCCCCATACGGAACTCCACCAAACGCCCCAATGGCTGCGCTCGCACGCGCCCACCGCACCCATGTCGGACCCATGTCGGCACACCCCCTCACACGTTTCGTTGCCCCGTAGGGAACCCCACTGAAGGCCCCAATGGCTGCGCTCGCATGCGCCAACCGCATCCATGTCGGCAGCCCCATCGGGAATTCCACCGAAAGCCCGAGTGGCTGCGTTCGCACGCGCCCACCCGCACCCATGCCATCACACCACTCACACGCTCCGTGGCCCCATACGGAGCTCCACCGAACGCCCCAGTGGCGCCCGCCGCACCCATTGTAGCACCCACCTCGCGCGTTTCGTGGCTCCACAAGGAGCTCCACCGGATGCCCAATGGCTGCGTTCGCAAGCGCCCCCCTCGCCCATGTCAGCACACCTGATCACACGCTCCGTGGCCCCATACGGAACCCCACCAAAGCCCCAATGGCTGCGCTCGCATGCGCCCACGGAACCCATGTCGGCACACCCCTCGCTCGTTTTGTGGCCCATTTAGAGCCCCACCGAAGGCCGCAATGACTGCGTGTGCATTCGCCCGCCGCACCCGTGTTGGCACACCCCTCACACGTTTCGTGGCCCCAATGGCTGCGTTCGCATGTGCCCACCGCACCCATTTCGAGGCGCCCCTTCCGCTGGTCCCAGCAGGCGCCCAATGCGGACTTGCAGGCCCCAGCGCTGTGTTCACTCAAGTATTAAATATACATATGTACTTACACATCTTACCGCTTGAGCGGTGAAATGTATGTATATATAAACATATATGCATACATAGACATACATGTGCACATGTAAGCTCTAAGAGAACACTATGACAACGTGACGAGCATAGGGATCCCAGGACTGATCTATAAAGCCGTCTAAGCGTAAGGCCGACTATATAATCTACCAAACGGGTGTGTCAACCGATCGAGCTGCAAAAAGCAATGCAAAAGCCATACAAACAAAAACTACCGACGGGAATTTACATGCTAGAGCCATGCAAGCACAACGACCACATCGCCCGGAACATCCTCGCTCGTTTGCTTGCAAGGCTGACGGGTGGGCGGGGCCACACACGGGCCTCGTCCGAACCATCGCCGCAACCTGTGGCCGTGAACGGGCCAGCGTCGCCGTCCTTGGCGCCTCCCTCCTCGGGCGCTGCATCGGATGCCTCGCCACGCTCGACGCATCCTCGCGATTCGCTTTCAAAGCAGAACGTAGTGAGACAAGTGACTCGCTCAGGTTATCCGTGCGATGTGTTGACGAAACCATACATGGTTTCAAACGGAGGTGGGCGAGACGCTCGAGACACCCCCGAAAACCGTCCCAAAGCAGAGCGGGCGCACGCGGATGACCACGTGAGCTTCCGCCGCCCATGCGCTGCTGATTATGCGCCCACCCGGCCGATCCCAACGGGCCCACCAATGCGGACTAGCAGGCCCACAACTGTTTCGACATATCTACCTTGAAGACGTACTACGATCGGAGGTTGGCGGGTGAGATCGCAGTGGCACGGAGACCCCCAGTCGGGCAATCGCTTCGCTTCGTTCGTGTCGTGCGTGCGGGCGAAGCGAAGCTGCGGGGGCGCGCGAGAAGAATGAACCAGCCGTTGCTAGGGCGAAGTCAAGGCAAATGTTGCTCCCCCGTCCGTCCGTCCGTCCAGCGGTGGCTCGCGGTGTCCCGCGGTGTCCCGTGGTGTCCCGCGGTGTCCCGTTGAGTGAGATCGATAGTAAGATCGATAGTGAGATCGATGTGGTGTCGCGAGGTGCCCCGTGGTGTCCTATGATGTCCCGTTGAAAGAGATCGATCGTGAGATCGATAGTGAGACCGATCGTGAGATCGAAAGGTGTCCCGCGGTGTCCGGTGGTGTCCCGTGGTGGCCCGTGGTGTCCAGTGGTGCCCCGTTGAGTGAGATCGATAGTGAGATCGATGTGGTGTCCAGTGGTCTCCCGTGGTGTCCCGTTGAGTGAGAGATCGATAATGAGATCGGTTTGGTGTCCCGAGGTGTCCCGTGGTCTCCTTTGATGTCCCGTTGACTGAGAGATAGTAAGATCGATAATGAGACCGATAGTGGGATCGAGAGGTGTCCGCGGTGTCCCGTGGTGTCCCGTCGAGTGAGATCGATAGTGAGATCGATCGTGAGATCGACAAGTGTCCCGTGGTCTCCCGTGGTGTCCCGTGGTGTGAGATCGATCGCGAGATCGATTGAGTCAGATGTTGGTTCCCCCCCCTCCCCCCCACCACAACCTCCTTATCACCCGAAGGGTGGTCGCTTAGGTATTATATATGTGGAGAAAGGAAAGAGAGACAGAGAGAGAGTGTGGGAGACAAAAAAGAGCGGAGAAAAAAGAGGAAGGAGGGGGAAACGCGCGGCGCTGTGGATTCGAAACGAGGACCCACGCACGGGAAGGTTGGGAACAACTCGCGTTAAGCGCAGGAAATTGTTGAGGACCCCCCTCCTCCGGCTACCGTTCGCAGCGCACGGGGATCGAATTCCGCCGGGCGGTATTCTTAGCACCGCGAGAATTCAAAAACAATAAGCCTGGCGAAAGACCCAACCATATGCAGTTGTGAGTACCGTCGTTGTACGCACCGCATTCGGAGGAGCTCCCTATAGGGCCACGAAACGTGTGAGTGGTGTGCCAAAATTTGTCCGGTGGGCGCATACGAAAGGGCCACGAAGCGCGTGAGAGGTCTGCCGAAATAGGTGCGGTGGGCG